GGACCAGTACACACACCAGTGCGGACCAGTACACAATAGTGTGGAACAGTAGGGACCAGTACACACCAGTGTTGGTCAGTACACACCAGTGTGGAACAGTAGGGACCAGTACACACCAGTGTGTGTTATTACCATGCAGTATACCAGTACCAGCCATCCAGGCAGACTTGTATGCACCAGTACAGACCAGTGTAACCCACTATAACCCACTACATCCCAGGGACACAGGAGCCTAATTGATACCACCACCACCCCCCCCAAAAAAGGGTCCCAGCCAGCCAAGCCCCCCTCCCCCGCCAGGGGATTCCCCCCCACAATGTCCCATCATCCACCCCCAGAGGGACCAGGACATCCGGGGGTGTCCTCAAGGGACCCAGGCATCTGGGTCCTGCACCCCTGCCCCTGGGGTCCCTGGGGGTCCCTACCCTGTTTGGGGGGGCAGATGAAGTAGCGGACCCCCCCCACGCTGCCGTCATTCTTGCCCTCGGGCTCATCCAGCTCCACTCCGGCCCACTGCCCGCTGGCAAATGCCGTGGTGCCGCAGAAACGCAGGGTCCCCACCTTGGGGGGGACACAACATGGCAGCCCTGGGTGACCCCTGCACCCCCCACATCCTCCCCTGCACCCCCAAAATCTTCATTATCCCCCTTCCAATGTGGAGGGTGCAGCAGATGGCTGCGCTGGGGCTGGGTGCTGCCGGGTCCCTGCACCCCTGGGGGTCCCAGCACCTGTATGTACCCCAGGAACATCTCTGTGCACCCCAAAACCTTCTGTGCACCCCAAAACCCCATTATTCACCCCAAAACCCACTTCTGATCCCAAATACTTCCCATGCCATGCCTGCATCCCCACGCAGAACATCCTGCGGTTGCACGGGTCCTGTCTGCGCCCCCCCTTGGGTGCTGCTGCACCCCTGCACCCCTCAGACCCCCCAAAACCATCTGTGCAACCTAAACCCCCTCTATCTGCTCCAAAACCCCATTATGCACCCCAAACCCCTCCTTTCACCCCCAGTTCCCCCCATGCCATACCTGCATTCCCACACAAAGCATCCTGCCATTCCATGGGTGCTGCCCGCACCCTGCTTGGGTGCTGCTGCGCCCCAGCACCCCTGGGACCCCCCCAGTCCCCTCCAAATCTGTGCACCCTGAAACCCCATCTATTCACCCCAAAA